ATAGGTTGTGTTGTCTACTACTTGGAAAAGTATTTACCACTCTTTTATAAATACCAAGTTTTTTTTTTTTTTTTTTTTCTCAGGGTCTTCAAGCCATTAGGTGCCCTGCGGGTTTGTTCTTTGATATTGAAAAACAAACTTGCGATTGGAAAGATGCCGTGAAAAATTGTAAATTGAAAAATAAAGAAAGAAAGGTTAAACCTCTCCTTTACACGGATGAACCTTTATGTTCGGTAAATATTTTTTTTTTTTTTCCTTTACTTTTCACGGTTGATTTTTTTATTCCCCGTTAAAAATGTTTTTTTTTTGTGATATTAGGATGGTTCTTTAGCTTGTGGTGATGGAGTATGTATCGAAAGAGGTCTTTTCTGTAACGGAGAAAAAGATTGTTCTGATGGTTCTGATGAAAATTCATGTGGTAAGTCACAAGTTTTATGTTTTGTAACAAACAAGCCAAACTCCAAAACGATATTTTTCCGGAAATTAATAAATTATTAATAACTCTACATAAATTATTAATGTCACTCAAAACGTCTTAAGAAATATTTTTGATGGTGCAAAAAAAAAAAAGTCATTGATTTATATGTATATAAATATTTTTAAAGAGGCGTGATGGTTTTTTTTTTTTTTTTCATCTTACGCAAATACTTTCCCAAGTATTATTGTTCTAGTCAACTAAAAGGGAAAGTTATTTCAGTTAGAAACTTGCCTGCCTGCCTGCCTATCTACCTGCCTGCTACTCTCACTACCTTTTGATAATTGCGCTACAAAACAGTTTATAAAATGTGTTTCTTTCTTTCTTTTTTTTTTTTTTTTAGACAGTTGATTTATGCATTTTTAATAAAAAAATTAATTGACTGGAATTTTTCATCGGCATTTAAAAAAAAAAAAAATTTGTCTTGATTACTTCCTTGAACTTTTACCTCCACCCCGTTGTAAACTTAGTCACCTCGATATATCCGCTTAAAACAAAAATATTTAAAAAAAAAAAAAAAAAATTCCAACCTTTTACTATTTTTTTTTTTTTTTTTATTTAAAATTTTCGTTTAACATTTTAGCCTTGTTATTTAAATTTAGTTAAGTGGAGGAGAAAAAAAAAAAAAGGAAAAGTATATAATTACTGTCAGAATTTTTCCTATTAGAAATTTTTTCTATTATTTTTCAGATATCGATAATGACCCTAACAGAGCTCCACCATGCGATCCTGCCGTGTGCGTTTTGCCAGACTGTTTCTGTTCCGAAGATGGCACTACAATCCCAGGGGACTTGCCCGCAAAAGATGTCCCTCAAATGATCACCATAACCTTCGATGACGCCATCAACAATAACAACATTGAGTTATATAAAGAAATGTTTAATGGTAAAAGAAAGAATCCAAATGGTTGTGACATCAAAGCCACTTTCTTTGTCAGTCATAAATACACCAATTACTCCGCCGTACAAGAAACCCATAGAAAAGGTCACGAAATTGCAACTCATTCGATCACGTAAGTTTTTTTTTTTTTATTGTCAAAACGAAATTGAAAGCTTTTCTTTTATTCAAGAGCAAAAGGGTGAAATGTTTGTTTTTTGTTTCATTTCAGACACAACGATGATGAAAACTTTTGGAGCAATGCAACGGTTGATGATTGGGCCAAGGAAATGGCTGGTATGAGAATAATCATTGAAAAATATTCAAACATTAGCGATAACAGCGTTGTGGGCATGCGTGCTCCTTACCTCAGAGTCGGTGGAAATAACCAGTTTACTATGATGGAAGAACAAGCTTTCCTTTATGATTCAACCATCACGGCTCCATTGTCTAACCCGCCTCTTTGGCCGTACACCATGTACTTCCGAATGCCTCACAGATGTCACGGAAACCTTCAAAACTGTCCGACAAGAAGTCACGCCGTTTGGGAAATGGTATTGAACGAACTCGACCGAAGAGAGGATCCAAATTTCGATGAATATTTACCCGGATGTGCTATGGTAGACTCCTGCTCAAACATTTTAACCGGAGATCAATTTTACAACTTTTTAAATCACAATTTCGACAGGCATTACGAACAAAACCGAGCTCCTCTCGGTCTTTATTTCCACGCCGCATGGCTTAAAAACAATCCAGAATTTTTAGACGCTTTCTTATATTGGATTGACGAAATTTTAGCTAACCACAAAGACGTTTACTTTGTCACCATGACTCAGGTTATACAATGGATGCAAAATCCGACTCCGATATCCGACGTAAGATCATTTGAACCTTGGAAGGAAAAATGTGCTCCGGAAGGTCCACCTGCTTGCTGGGTACCACACTCATGTAAATTAACTAGCAAAGAAGTCCCGGGAGAAACCATTAATTTACAAACATGCGTTAGATGTCCAAATAATTACCCATGGTTGAACGATCCAACGGGTGACGGTTTCTTCTAAGTCAACGATCTCTAAATTTAGTTTTTTTTTTTTTAAAAAAACAGTCAAATAATTTCCCACGTAATAACATCATAAAGATATTTCCTTTGTTCGAAAAAAAAAAAAAAAAACAAAAACAAAAAAACACACAAAAAAAAACGTTAGGCAAAAATATTATCATTATTTTTAACATCAAATGGTATAAGGAAAAAGAAGAAGATATGCCTAATCCTTGCTGAACAAATAAATAAAACAACCAACAAGTTTGGCGGCGGCGGCGGTGGCGGTGGCAGTGGCAGTGGTGGTGGTGGTTGTTGTTGTTGTACATGAACAGATGCACGGAATACAAATAAGACAGAGAGAAATTTAAATTCTACACAATCGGAATTAATAATGAAACTCATAGAGATGTGTGACAAAGTGGAATGTTGTCGATTAGGAGTGGCAATAGGGTCCCCAAGGCAATCCACTGGTCAACTTTCACAGAGTTTCGTATATTGTAATAATATTTACAGTATACAATTAAACTATTGTCTGAATTTTCCGTTTCATTATTTTTATATCCCTAAACATAACCATAAAAAAAAAAAAAAAAAAAAAAATTCGAGAAAAATCTAATTCTTTTCTGTGAAAAAAAATTCTTTCAAATCATCAATTATTATTATTCTTATCATAAATTAATAATAAGCGAAAGATTCAATAATAATAATAATAAGCAAGTAAGTAAGTAATCGAATATGATTTTTAAAGGTTTTTTCTATGAGTAAGATTCCATTCTCTGGAAACGCCTTTCGAATTTATTGCACAATTGTTTATTATCGAAAAGTATTTAAAAGTATTTAGTATAAAAGTCAAGGTTATCTCCGTAAAACTAACTCTCCGAGTCATCATTCCAATCAAACTTCCCCCCCCAAAAAAAATTAAAAGAAAAAAGAAAAAAAAAATTAATAAATAAATAAATTTGTCTAGTCACGTTATTTATAACAAAATAAAAAAATTCGACTCGTGAGTTTTGGCCTTACCTCTTTTCCTCCACCCCCCACTCCCCCGCGCGCTTGGTATTCCTCGCCCCCCTACCCCCTTATCACGTTTTTTAAATAATCTTTCGGTATACAAAATTTCAAACGTCTTTAAATTTTTTTATTTAAATAGTAAATCGATCAATAAATCGAAATTTTTACCAAATTAATATCTGTTATGTACATGAACCGCGAACGCAAACAAACAAACAAACAAACGACAAACAATGGATTTTTTTTTTTTGTTTATATTCTGTATGAAAAAAAAAAATTTTTTTTTACAAACGTGGGAGAAATAAAGAGATTTTATACGTAAAATTCATTTTTTAAAAAGCAAGGAAAATAACAACATCATAATCGATCGTAAAAAAAGATTCTCGTGACACGTTAATACCATTTCTGTACTTTAATTTTAATATATTTTTTTTTTTTAAACAATTTAAAATAATTTTATAAGTTATGTTATTATTATGAATTTTTTTTTTTTTTTTTGAAATTAAATGTTGTTCTAAATAAAGACTGCGTTTTATCTGATGTTTTATTATTATTATTATTATTATTATTATTATTATTTAGACAAACAGTACGAGATTAAAATTATGGATAATTATTTCCGTAAACAGCCAACAACCAAAGTTTTCCTAAGATGGACAACAGAATTACCACCATACATGAACATAATTACATTAATTAATTAATTTAATTACTACTAATAATAATAATAATAATTTTTTATGTAATATTTGAAAATATTTTTAAGATAGAATACCCCCCCCCCAAAAAAAAAAAAAACAAAAATAAAGAAAAAGTTTTTGTTTTTTTTTCTAAGTGAAAGAAAACGAAAGTTTTTTTTTTTTTTTGACGAAAGTAATAATTGTTCTGGCCTTTAGCAAAAAAAAAAAAAATTCTTTGGGCTAGTTTTTTGTAAATCGAACGTTTTCTTTTTTCCTTAACCGTCGCAAAAAAAAAAAAACAAAAACAAAATTTTCTTCTTAACTTTTTAGTATCGTTTACTCATAGCAAAAAAAAAAATTTTTTTTTTCAACTTTTTCATTTTCGACACCCCAAAAAAATATTCAAAAAAAAAAATTATATAATTAAAATTTAATATTTTGATAAAAACGCGTTTTAAAATAATAATAATAATGATGATGATGATGATGATGATAATAATAATAATAACGATAATATTACAAACGTGATCTCTAATTTAAACATCATCCGTTGACATTTTTAATCATGAATTCATTCTTCTCCTCTCTCTCTTTCTCTCTCTCTCTCTCTTATTTTTTCTCACACTTTTTCTTTTTAATAACTGAATTAAATGCCGGGTGTACAAACAAACAAACAAACAAACAATCAGCTTTCTCTTTCATAAGTTCTTATCACATAAGTATAATAAAAAAATAGAAGATTCCTTCTTATTTATTAAAAAAAAAAAAAAAAAAA